TGATGATGATGATGATGATGATGATGATGATGATGATGATGATGATGATGATGATGATGATGATGATGATGATGATGATGATGATGGTGATGTTGATGATGATGAAGATGATGATGATGATGATGATGATGATGATGATGATGATGATGATGATGATGATGATGATGATGATTAAGATGATGATGATGATGATGATGATGATGATGATGATGATGATGATGATGATGATGATGATGATGATGATGATGATGATGATGAAGCTGATGCTGATGCTGATGATGATGATGATGATGATGATGATGATGATGATGATGATGATGATGATGATGATGATGATGATGATGATGATGATGGTGATGGTGATGATGATGATGATGATGCTGATGCTGATGCTGCTGCTGATGATGCAGTTGCTGCTGCTGATGATGATGATGCTGCTGATGATGATGATGCTGATGATGCTGATGATGATGATGATGTGATGAAGAATGGCAGATGATGCTGAGATGATGTGATGAGAAGATGATGAAGATAGCAGAAGATGATGATGATGATGATGAAGGATGAAGATGATGAGGAGGAGGAGGAGGAGGGGAGGAGAGGAGGAGGAGGAAGAGGAGGAGGAGGAGGCGGAGGAGGCGGAGAAGGGCGGAGGAGAAGAAGAGGAGGAGGAGGAGGAGAAGGAGGAGGAGGAGGAAAGGAGGAGGAAATGAGGAGGAAAGGAGGAGGAGGAGGGGGACGTGCCCAGCGGCTCCCCTTATCCCCCTTGCATTTTCTCCTTCCTCTAGCCCCCACCCACTCTTTTTTTGCCACGGACCACCAGCTCCTCCTCCTCCCCCTCCTTCTCCTCCTCCTCCTCTCGTTCTCCCTCTCCTGTTCCTCTGCCTCTTGCTCCCCCCTCTCCCCCCTCTCCCCCCTCCCCTCTCCTCACGAAAGGCAAGCGTATCCATGTCCATGCCCTCCTGGTCTGAAATCCGAGGCGCGGTCCAATGAATGCGCGATCCCATGGATGCGTTCTGCGCGGATCATCCGCTCAAAGCCTCCTTGTATCATGGGCGCGCGGCCATATTTGGTTCGCACGGCCGTGCACATGGATATGTTCCCCGCCTACGATCGTCAATTGTCCAATCTGAGCTCTAGTCTCCTCTCCCCCCCGAAGACGTCCAGTGAGCACTGCGCCCTTTCTATCAGAGTGAAGGGGCCCGAACGGTCTTACATGGTCCCTGCGCGCGCATGGCCGGAGTAGGGACGGCGACGCTGGGAGGGCACGCTGGGAGGGCACGCTGGGAGGGCACGCTGGGAAGGCATGCTGGGAGGGCAGTCTGGGAGGGCTCGCTGGGAGGGCACGCCTTGAGGGCGCGCTGGGAGGGCCCGCTGGGAGGGCGGGGAGGGCACACTGCTGGGGAGCGCGTCGGGAGGGCGCGCTGGGTGGGCGCGCTGGGAAGGCGCGCCGGGGAGCGCGTCGGGAGGGCGCGCCGGGGGGGCGCGATGGAAGGGCGCACTGGGGAGGCGGACTGCCTGGAGAACGCCCGGTCTAGCTCCGCTTCCCCCTCCCCTTCCTCTCCCTCCTGGCCCCGTCCACAGTGGCGGGGTGCTAGATGCAGTTGTTTTTGCGCAGGGTTTCAAGCAGTTGTCTCTCACATTGTTGTTTCATTCTCTGAGATCGTTTCGCTAGAGGGGACAAGGGTCAAACATTCGAGACGCTTCGCGTGACCCTACCAGCCCATCCAGACATGATGCCAAGACGAGTTGCCCTGATCAGGATTGTGGAGAAGGACGGGGAGGAGGAGGAAGAAGGCGAGCAGAAGAGCCCGAAGCTTCTTGAATGTCTCTCGGAGTCTCCTCGGATTTCGCTTGGAAGCTTTTGGGAGGCCTCTAGGAGCGTCTGGGGGGAATCCTGGCGGGCCCAGGGCCGTCTTTGAGCGTCTTGGGTGCCTCGGGGATCCTCTTGACGTCTCTTGGGGGTCTCTTGGGAGCCTCTTGGAGACCTCTTGGCCGCCCCTTGGGGCCGCCTGGGCGCCTCGTGGGGCCATCCTGGGGCGCTCTTGGGAGCTTTAGGGTCGCTCTTGGGGCCATCTTGGCGAGCATCGATCAGAGAAGGGGGGAACTCCAATTAGCCTTCCTCCTCGGGAGTCCAACAGCTCGCCTCCTGGGGCACTCTCGGGGCGCTCTTGGAGCGCTCCTGGGCGCTTTTGGGGCCGTCTTGGGGCTCTCTTGGGCTCCTCTTGGGGCATCTGGGAGCCATCTGGAGGCCTCGGATGGCCACCGGAAGCGACAAGGCGACAAGCAAACACACATTCCCTTAGGTTTTGGACGGAGTTTGGCCTCTTCGGGGCCTCCTTGGGGAGCTCTTTGGCTACTTAGAGCCGTCTTGAGGCGGTTTTGGGGCCTCTAGGAGCATCTTGGAAGCCATCTTGAGCGATCTTGCGCTATCTTGGAGGCAATCTTGGGTTCTCTGAGGCGCTCTTGGAGCCGTCTTGGGCCATCTTGGACGCTCCAACGCCTCGCAACTGGCTCCGTCCAGGTCCCGAGAGGGTGAGGGGGAGGGGGTTGCAAGAGAAAGCTCTCATCAGTGGAAGCCCATGCCAAGAAACCCCCTGCTTGCCTCCAGGGTGCCCTGGGCTTCTTGGGTTTCGACGGTTTTACAATGGAAAGCGTGACGTTCCCACGCCAAGATCCAATGGATGTCCTGGGGTTCTCGTGTAAGGTTTTTTGTGGTTGAGCTTTTACAGTGAGCGGCTTGAGTGAGGAGCACATACTTTCTAAAAGGGGCTCGGTTGTCCCTTAGGCTTGCATGCGCTATGCATCGTTCCTTAGGTGTGATGTATTACTTATCGTTCCTGATGCGTTATTCCTTGGAAGCATAAGGGGTTCGTTCCTTATGTATTGTTCCTTAGGTCGGGTCGATGACTGAACGCTCTAAAGGGCTAGTGTGACTCGCTACGCCAGAATCTCCACAGGGGGGGGAACCGGGGGGGAGGCGCCGCACCCGCCCAACGGCGCGGCCTCGAAGGGTCTGGCAGCGCTCGCTGTGGTGTTCCGGCCTGATTCGGTCCAGAAGTGCGGCGCGGGCCCTCGCACCCCCCCATGGAGGTAGATCTGGGCTGTTTTTGGCGCCTGTTTCAGGCAGGTGGGGTCCCCCCCCACAGGACGCACGGTCCCAAACAGGCGCCATTAAGCAGAGGTCCAGGGCCAGACCTCCCCCCCTCTCCCCCCCTCGCCCCCCCTTCCGCCCAATGTCGAAACGCCGAATAAGAAAACGTTCACTATTGCGTTCTGGCTCGACTTGGCCCAGACGTTGGGCAGACTATGGCGTTCTGGCTCCACTGCAGCCCTCCCCGATACAGAAATGAGACCCGCCATTGTGGTCTTGGCTCGATTTGGCCCATAAATGAGACTCATTCGAGTATTCTGGCTTGTTCTCCTTTCACCCGAGTTTCCACCGGCGTTTCACCGATCCGGCGGCTGTCTGGACTCGATTGGCTATTGTGCTCTGGTTCAGTTTCGGCCCTCGCAGATCCAGAAATGAGACTCACTCTGGGGTTCTGGTCCGATATGTTCCAGAAATGAGGCTCACTACGGTGTTGTGGCTTGATTCCCGTCCCCCCAGATCCAGACATGAGGCTCACCACCGTGTTCTGGCTTGACTTGGTCCAGGCATGAGCCCCAACATGGTGTTCTGGCTCGATTACAGGTCAAAGGTTCCTTCCACCAGACTCGCCACAGGGGGGCCGAGCGTTCTGGCCTGATTTCAGCTTTCGCAGATTTAGCAAAGAGACGCAGCCTGGTGCTCTGGCTCGACTTGGGCCCTTTCGCTGGCCCTGCCCCGCTCGCAAAAGGTCGACACGGCTTTCCAAGGCCCTTGCATCCTCCTCGTGCGTTCTTGCTGCACGGCTGGACGGTAGGCTCCTCACCATTCCAGCTGCCAGGAGTGGGGTCGCTCGGTCCCCAGTGCTGTTCCAAGCGCTCTGATGCCAACATGCCGACATTGCGAACGCCACCTTCATATTCACAAGTTCAGCTCCGTAGCCGTGTGGATGGCGAGCATGTCAGCGCAGTGGGAAAAGGATGGGCGGGGAATGGGTCGGATGTCAGTTATGGCGCGAGCGCGCCTGGCTTGCACCCACGTTCGCTCCCTCCCCCTCCCCCTTTCAGGAGGGGAAAGAACACACAGACACAATTAATCGTCGATTCCCCAGAAAATATTTGGAAAATATGGGAAGTGGGGGGGAAGACAGAAACCCAGAAAATATGGGAAAACATGGGACATCCTTTTATTTGTGTGTATTTATATGTGTCCTAGGGCCGTTGGAGTGTGGGGCACACCCAGACCGCGCCATCCGGATGCGTAGCTGTCCAGTGGGCCCCTTGCAGCATCCCCCGCTTGGCCCATCCGAGCCCCCTGCCACGAGCCGCGCGCCTGGGCTTCCAGCTTCGGTCTCGGTCCCGGCGCCCATCCTCCGCGCTGCCTCCGCGCGGCGCGGTGGAGGTAGAGGACAGGCAGCTCAGCCAGACCATCAAGCACGCCATGAGGCCAGCCGCCCGCGGGGCCCCACTTTTGATCCTGCCTCGCTCCAGTTCGATGTCGATGCCGGCCCGCCCGAGACGGGTCAGCGCCGACGCTGCGCCGATCCGATGCGGCTCGATGCTGTGCACGGTCCCTGTTCTGTGCATCCTGGCGCGGCCGATCCGATTCGATCTCGGACCCGTGCCAGTGCGGCCCGATGCGATGTTCTTTTCCCGCCGTGGTCCGATTTCCCGACTCGATGCCGGCTGATCTTGCTGCACGGAGACATCGGGACCTCACGGCGTTGCGAACACGTCACGACGGGCGTTATGCACTGTCTCGGCGCCTCGGGGGGCCGCTTGCAGGCGAGGCCCCCTGCTGTTTCTTTGTGTTCTTCCTTCGGGGGCAGGGAGGAAATGGGCGGGGGAACTGGGTAGGAGGAGCTTTGAATGTTTCGGCCGGGCACGAAAAGCCGAGCTACATCCCACGACGCGAGCACACCCCAGGTGCCGTGAGCTGACAACTAGCTAGCACTCTTACCCACGCGAACCCTAGGTTTCTCGGGGGGAATTCCGAAGGGCGGCTTTTGTGTGCGTGTGTGTTGTCGAATGGGGGTCCCCGCTCAAACGGGAACCCTTCTCGGGGTCGTGCAACCCGCACCCATACCTATAGCGCCTCAATCTTTTCTGTCCTTCCCCACTCATCCTCGCTACAGGTTTGATCGTTTTTCGTGTCTCTCCCTCGTCCTTTCATCAAGGGGAGGCATGCGTCCGCGCCGATGCAGGTTGCATTCATCCACCCGCCGGGCTGGTACTCTCCGTTGCTCTCCCCTCCCGCCAGCCTAGCGGCCGCCACGTCGCCATTGCCGCCTGGCTATCGCTCGCGGTCCGCCGACGCGCTTGGTGGACGGAGGATTTTTGGGAGGTTTTGGGGGAGGGAGGATTTTGAGCGTCGAAGAGGGAGGGAGGATTTGGAGGAGGGAGGACCTTGGGGAGGGAGGACTTTGGGGAGGATTCCTGGCAAGGGTCCTCTGCAAGCTTGCCGCCTGCTCTGGAGCGTTGCTACCCGGGTTGTTGGACTACTCAAGTTACACGTTGCCACAATGGAGCTGTGGAGCAGTGCCGAGTCGGATTCCTTCTCGGGCGCCACCTTCCGGCGTTCCGGCGCCCCGGCGCCGCACCCGCAGCCGCCGCAGCACCCCGGACGGTGTGCCCGTGTGCGAGCGTGCTTCGTGCTTCGTGCTTCGTGGGGGTCCCGTCTGTTAGGGGGCCACCTGCGAACCCTACCCCTGCCCCCCACGATTTCTGAGGGGGAGGGTGGGGTTCACTTCGCTCGGGAGCTCCTGAACGAAGTGACCCCCCCCCTCCCCCTCAGAACTCGTGGGGGGCAGGGGTAGGGTTCGCGTGTGGCCCCCCACGAGTCCTCCTCCTCCTCCTCCTCATCCTCCTCCTCCTCCTCCTCCTCCTCCTCCTCCTCCTCCCCCTGCACGAACGAGATGGGCACGGAAAGAATGGGTACAATGCTCAACAGCAGTTCCTGCAGGCCTAGAGATTGACACCAACACCAAGATCGGCGGTGTGCTTCCACCGAGAGAAGAAGATCTTAATTTCGGCGATGGTGGTAATATTCTGGCTTCCAAGGTGACCGAAATATGACCACCAACACCGAAATCTAGGATCATCATTCCCCTGTGGAGGCACCCCCCTGTCTTGGTGTTGGTGCCCATTTCCAGGCCTCCAATCCTGTTCATTTTGGACAGGGTTCGCTGTCGGCGTCGCCGCGACTTGTGTCCATCTGAGACAGAAGGCCGCCTGCCAAGCAGCGGCCGCTGAGGATTCGGGGCCACATTTGCTGTTGGGCATTGTGCCCATGCTTTCCGTACCCATTTCGGGCGTCCAAACTCCCCCTGCCTACCCCCCCTCCTCGTCCATGGCACTTCCCGCGATTCGCGACCCGATCGATTCGATTCGATGCCGATTGTGGCCCGCCCGACCAGAGTCGACACCCATGTTCGGGCGATGCTATGCGGCCCGATGCTTGCGTGGCGCGGCCGAAGTCGGTTCGATTCTGGCTCCGTGCTGATGCGGCGGACTGATCCGACGCCTTTTCCGATCCGACCCGACTTCCCGATCCGATGCCGACGGATCTTGCCACGCGCAGACATCCAGACCCTCGGGGGGCGTTGCGAGGAGTCACGAAAGGCGTGTCTCGGCGCCCTGGGGGGCCGTCGTCGTCGTCGTCGTCGTCGTCGTCGTCGTCGTCGTCGTCGTCGTCGCTTCCTGGCGAGGCCCCCTTGCCCTCTGTTGTGAGCCCTCGGGGGCAGGGAGGGGCGGAGGCAGAGGAGCGGGGCGGGAGGAGCGTGCGACTGGCCGTGCCCCAGGGGCCGAGCTGCACGCGCACCCTGGGATCCTTCCGCTCCGCGATCTGACCCTAGATATTTTGTCGTTGTTGTCTCTCCTCTCTTGTTCATGTGTAATTATCGTTAATTCCATTCTTCGTAGTACTACTATCAGGATTCGTATTACTTTCCTATCATTATTATGATTATTCGTATTCTTATTCTTGTTTTTATTACTACTACTACTACTACTACTACTACTACTACTACTACTACTACTACTACTACTACTACTACTACTACTACTACTACTCTTTTTCGCATTATTCTTCATCGTATTTTTTTCTTCTTCTTCTTCTATCATTATTGGTATTATGGTTATTACTTCTTTTTGGCAAAGCACGAAAATAAACAAACAACACTCTGGGCCATAACGCGCGTTATGCCCCCTCTCCTCCCCCGTCCTTTCCCCCCCATGACGTAGTGCTACCCTCCTCAGTGCGTCCCCGACACTGCCGCAGTGCGTTCAGCACCACAGTCTTTGGGGGGGGGGGGGGGGCGCTACGTTATGCCCCCGACTGTCCACCCCCGCCTCCCTCCGCATACCGCCCGTTACGGCCGCGAATAGGAAAATGCGCTCATGGCGACAGGGGATGTGAGGATTTCTGAACTGAGCGAATCTCTGTGTCCTGGCATACCGAATCCAGCACTTCCAGTAATCCTCGCCCTCCCCGTCGCCAGGGAGACGCTCAGGGGCCAGATCCATGAGCTGAAGGATCTCGGGGGCCGAGCTACGCCCATTCGATGCCGACCGGTCCTGCCCTCCTCTCCTCGTCCGCGAGCGAGCACGCGCTCCCAGAGCTCCGCGTGGCGCGCCCCCGCGGTGCCCCCGCTTCCGTCGGCCGTGCGGGAGTCGAACAAGACGACAGACGACAGTACAGACACGATTTGTCGGAGCTCGGCGGGCCCCCCACCAGTGGGCGCACCGACGGAGTGGGGCAGATCGCCCCACCCCCGTCACTGCTGCGCCGGCCAGCATCGGTCGTTGATCGTCCCTCCTTCGAGGGAGGCAAAGCGGTGTCCATGACAAAGGTGCCGCAGGATCCTGTCGACGCCGATGGTCCATGTCAGCCGTCGCCTACTCGCGGGGATGATCCGCGAATTAATGGACGATGACCCAGATGGACGATAAACAAGATCAACACCGACCTTTCCGCGTTCAGTCTTGGCCATGGCCGCCGTCTCCTCCTTTCCCTCCGCCTCCCTCGGGAGCTCGCGCGCGCAGGGAGCAGGACGTTCTGCACCTTGCGGAGTGCTGGTACATGATCCTGGGGACCTACAGGCAGCCGATGCCCCAGCTGGTCATCGACTGCCTGAAGGCGCCGCCGCCGCCGCCTGGGGGCGGGCGGAGGGCGAGACAGCGAGGGGCGGCGGGCCGCCTTGAAGGGTGGCGCGGGAGCGATGGTGGCCTTGTATCCCGTCGATGGTTGGCCCTGTTCCAATGGGAGGAGGAGGAGAGGAGGAGGAGGAGGAGGAGGAGGAGCAGGAGGAGGAGCAGGAGGAGGAGGAGGAGGAGGAGGGGGTGGAGGAGAAGTAGGAGGAGGCGGAGGAGGAGGAGGAGGAGGAGGAGGAGGAGGAGGAGGGGGTGGAGGAGAAGTAGGAGGAGGTGGAGGAGAAGGGGGAGGGTGGGTGCAGGAGGAGGAGGCGGAGGAGGAGGAGGAGGAAGACTAGGGGGAGGAGGATGCCGTTTAAGATGTGAAATTGGATGAGGGAGAACAAGGTGGAGGAGGGGAGGTTTTAAGAGGTGAAACTGGATGAGGGATGATTGGGGGGATTGGGGTGGAAACGCTGTGTCACGGCGTTGTTTCCACATTCACCGCCCAGCCGACAACGGCGGAGTTCGGAATGTCTGCCACATGTCATTTTTCCGACCTCGACAAGTGAGCGGCGTGTGGGTGACAGCTTTGGCTTCATATGTGGCGAACCGGGATAGTGGTGGGCAGGAAGAGGCCTGAAACACTTTGATACTTCCTTCTGCAATCGTGCAGGCAAGCGTAAATCCCAGAGTGACAAGATTTCACGCGCGAGAGGCGGCAACTCGCGCTAGAGTGCAGCTTCCCCTGTCTCCTCCAGCTCCATTCTCGTACGCCCCTCATAACGTCTCTGGTAGGGGGAGGCTCAACTGATGGGCCAGCGGTGCTTGTTAAGTGGTACTAGGACGGAATAGTTTGGACCAGCTGCGTAGAATGTGCGGTGGTATGCGAGGGATCGTGTACCGTTGCGCGTCTATGACGCTGTTCCCGGGATACTCTGGCACATCCAACTTGCAGCGTCCACGTGCGCTGCAGATTCAAATTGCGTCGCGGTGCATTGTGGAATCGCTGTGGTCGGGGCGTGATCTGGTCATCGTGTCACGCCAGTGACGAGGCGCAGCAGGTTTACGTTTGGCAAGTGGTGGACATGTAGTTCCCCAGAACCGAAGCGCAGATGTGATGAGCTGCGTGAGTGCACGGGGCACCGTCCGCCTGCCGGCGCGGGTGCTTCGGGGGCAGAGGCGAGCGCGGTTGGACGTGGAGCGCGCAACGCATTAGAACACATGCGCCGCGCCATAGCGCGACGAGGTATGAGCGTGCGAATTACGAAGTCTGGTGTGTCAGCATCGGCTCGTACTGAAGATGTGTGTCGTCGTATTCCAATAGGAAGCTGTCGCAATCGCATCGGTGTCACACAGATGTGAAAGGTGTTCGTAATAGTATTTGTATACATTGCGGTGTTACTACTAGTAGCATCGGGAACGTTGGTATAAGTCTTAGTACCATGGCCACTTCAGCTGCATGCGACGATGCTGTATCTGGCATCCGCATTTTTTTCGCAGCGGTATTGGCATCGGTGCTCGTATCAGTGGCGTTGTCGGAATTTTCGGGACAAGAAAAATCACCAGTCGCAGTATTCGTATTCGCCGTGAGGATGGCTGTGTCATTACCAGTATCCCTAATTACTACGGTCAGTAGCATCAGTCGCAGAAGCGATACCCATGGCGCCATTAGTCCCACTCGCCGTACCTGTCGCGGCTCCAGCACCAGCATTAGAAGCAGCAGCTGTGAGAGCAGTGTTCGCAGTAGCCGTGGGGGACGGACGGTGTCGATGTCAATGCCCATGGCTTTGCCATTTGAGGCGTCTTCGTCGCCATCTCCAATTCTTCATATTTCAACATTTCCCATTTTCCCATTTTCCATTCCAATTACTCTCCAATTCTTCCTATTCCAACATTTCCCATTTTCCATTCCCATACCCGTACCTTCCGATGACGCGTGGGCCAGGAACACCAGTTGCCGAAACTCTCACCCGAGACGTTCGTCGCCGCTTGTTTAGCCCCCTCCACGAGATGGATGACGACCTCGACTTGTCCCCGCCGCGCCCGGAGGTACATCAGATATCTTCGCCAATGGCACCGGGCACTCCGGAGGAGGCAGCGGCGCAGCCGCCAACGCTCCAGCAGATCGCGAACCTTTTGAAGCAGGAGGTGCAGCCACTTCGGAAGGCGGTGGAGGGCTTAGAGCGCAAAGTGACAGAGATCGGAGGGACCATGGAGGAGAGGATGACGGAGGTAGAGAGCAAGATGGAGAACATGGACGCGCGCCTGACGCACTTGGAAACCAGTTCGGCGGGTTCCCGGACAGATGCAGAAGTGCGAGAACAGTTGAAGATGCTGGAGGCCCAGATCTCGGAGCTCAAGCTGATGGACAACACGCAGAAGAGCAATGGGAACCAATACGAGGAGTACACTGCGGTGGTCGGTGGCCTTCAGACGATCGGCAGCACGGAGAACGCGAAGAAGTGGATAGAGGCGAACATGTGGGACCTCTACGGGCCGCAGCCGGCAGAGGTGTACTCTAAAGGGGAGTTTCGTGGTCTCATCTTCGTTCGATTCAGGAGCCGTGCTGACAGGGACACTGCCGTGAAACTCCTCCGCCAGGCCTCTCTCAAGGAGGGCGGGAACGATATTTGGGCAAAGAGGGACATGGTTCTCCCCAAGCGTATCCTCACGTCTTTCGCGTTTAGCGTCAAACACCTTCTCAAGCAGTGGGGCTTCACGGCCGAGAGCGTCTGGGCGGACCCGGAGGGCACGGTGTGGGTTGGTGCCGATGTGGCGGTGAGCGGGAGGATCGTGGGCAACAAGTTTGAGACCGACTTTGGCACGGGCTGGGAGGAATGGTTCAAGCAGGACGGCTACACCAACTTCCAGGACTTGGTCGCGAACCTCAACGCCAAGCTCGGCAAGATCCCGTCCAAAGGCCTCGGGAAAGGGAAGGGGAAAGGGAAGGCTGCCGCCAAGGGCAGCAAGTAGGGGCGCCAACTGTGCGTGAGCAATGACGTTTCACCTGCAGTATGTGGACATCCAGCTGGCCAAGCCAAGTTGTCACTTTCTGCGGCTCGGGGTGGTCGTTTACGCCCTGCCACGGCTGACGAATTCAACATTGCATCTTGGAACATCGAAGGGCATACAGACTCGAAACAAATTGAGCTAGAATCCATAATGGATAAATTACATATCAAGATCTTGTGCCTACAAGAGACATGGACATCAAAGTCTACCACGTACGTCACGGATTCCGGCTACCTCGTTGTCCTTTCCGGCGGCGCGGGAGACCCAGAGGACGAGCGGGCTGGAGTGGGCTTCGTCGTACATCCAAGTTTCAGGCACTCTGTGGTTGGATTTTGCCAGGCGACGGACCGCATGGCATCGCTCAAGCTTCGGATCCCAGGAGGTAAAGCTGTTATTTTCTCTGCATACGCGCCGCGCAGCGGTTACGAGTTCCGGCGGCGGTTTGACTTCTTCACGAGTTTGTCAGAATTCGTTTCCACAAGATCCGCTCATGGACCCAAGCTTGTGTTAGGAGACATGAATGCAAAGTTGTATGGCCAACTCGATGGAGAGAGTGACGCGGTGGGGCCCTATATTTTCAAACACCCCCACCAGACGTGCAAGGAAAACGCCAACCGGCACCTCATGGTTGAGATGTGCGAGAATCTGAACATGTGCGTTGCAAACACATTTTTTGACGTGCCGGATCACAACCTTGTCACTAACTACAACGTGGGTACGCCTGCCGGGCTACAAATTGGATCCTCGACGCACTCGCAGATCGATTTCGTACTCTGCGAGAGGACTTTTCTCCGGGACATCACTGGCGTGGCTGCTAGGCACGACGTGCCGTTGTCGACCCATCATTTCTTGTTGACTGCGTGTGTCCGTATGTCAGTTGAGAAGACGGCGCCTGCGAGTCAGAGTCCACGCCTTGATGTCACAGCCCTCTCCGACCCACTCGCCGCTTGTTTTTTCAACGTGAACATGTTGAATGCTTTGGAGGGCTTCGAGGACACAGCAGCTGGAGGCGAGGATGTCGATCTTGGTTGGAGTCGTATCGTGGACGGTTTTCATCACGCTGCCGAACGCACGTTGCCATTCCTTCCGAGGCGGACCACAAGGCCGTGGACGAGCGCCGGAACGCTGGGGCTGATCGAGCGCCGCGGGAGCGCCAGAAGGCAGGGCGACACTGACGAGGAGAAGCGCCTATCGAAGAAAATCCGCGCTTCGGTTGCCAGGGACAAGGCCGCTTGGATCGAATCGGTCACGGAATCCGCTGATTGGAATCAGATTAGGAGGCTCCGGAAAGGCCCTGTCCGCAGACAGGGCAGGCTTCGTGACGTCAACAAGGGCATTGTGGAGACGGACCAGCGTGCTGAGACTCTGGCCGACTACCTCGAGAGGGTGCAGTGGGCAGTCAGACCCACGTCAGTGGCACCGCCAGTTGCTGCACGGATTGCCGACAACGACCTGCCCATCTCCATGGGTGATATCACAGTGGGGGAGGTGAAGGCCGCAGCTGCGAAATTGAAGCGAGGACGCGCTTCTGGCCTTGACGGGGTGCCACCCGAATTCTGGAAAGCAGCGGCGAGCGACGCGGGAGGTCTCCCGAGCTATCTGGCAAAATTCTACACCGACGTTTGGAGACAAGGTAAGATCCCAGAAGCTTGGAGGCATGCGAGGGTGTCGATGCTGTTCAAGAAGGGCGACCCTGCAGAATGCGAGAACTACCGCCCCATCAGTATCTCGCCCATCGGCTACAAATTGTTCGCAACCATCCTGCTCCAGAGGCTGAAGCAGGCGGGGGCCGAAGACCGCATCTGGCGAACCCAATTCGGGTTCCGCTCCGGGCGGGGCACGGCAGACGCAGTGTTCCTAGCCCGCCGGGTGCTGGACGACACATGGTCAACACGAGATGCAAGTCGCTTGTTCCTGGCACTCGACTGGGCCAAGGCATTCGACTCGGTCTCGCCGGACGCGCTCGCCGGGTCTTTGCGGAGATTTGGTTGCC